GTTGTTCATTCCATCATTTGCCTTTAACATTATTTCTGCTAGTAAACTGACTAAAGAGTCCAATTGTAAGCTTGTTATGGGGGCTGATTCATGTGCCATTCAGGGAACTCATGGAGTAATGGATGGTTTTGCTAAGCAAAAGGATGGTCTGTATCTGCTAGAAGATCCTCCCATAAAAAGGAAAAATGAGACTGTAAGCAGAAGTGATGATATTCATTGCAATAGTGTAACAGTTGAGATATGGCATAGTAGACTAGGTCACTATCCTGTCAGCAAAATACCTTTTTTGAATGGAATAAAGTCTGTTGCTATCAATAAAAATGTTGATTTTGTTTGTGATGCTTGCCATTTTGGTAAACATAAGAGGTCTAATTTCCCTGTTAGTACTTCTAGAGCTGAGAAAAGCTTTGATTTGTTGCACATGGATGTGTGGGGTCCTTTTAATGTGGCATCTTTGAAAGGAGAGCATTATTTTCTCACCATAGTTGATGATTTTAGTAGATTCACCTGGCTGCATTTGATGAAAAATAAGTCAGAAGTTAAAGCTAAATTCCAAGGTTTTTATAACTATGTGTCTACTCAGTTTGCAACCAAAATCAAGATGGTGAAAACAGATAATGGGACTGAGTTTTTTATGGGAGCTTTTCTAGATGAAAAAGGAGTTGTTCATCAGAAATCATGTTCCTATACCCCACAACAGAATGGGATAGCAGAGAGGAAACATCAACATATCTTAAACATAGCTAGAACCTTGAAATTTCATGCAGGGTTGCCTATTGAATTCTGGGGACACTGTGTGCTACATGCTACTTTTCTCATTAATAGACTACCTTCTGAGGTCCTTAGTGGGAGGACTCCTTTTGAGATGTTGACTGGAAAATGTGTGGATTATGGGCAGATGAGATCATTTGGTTGCTTATGTTTTGGGGCAACCATTTCACAAGGAAGAAATAAGATGCAGACTAGGGCAAGGAAGTGTATATTTTTGGGCTATCCGGCAAATGTAAAGGGTTATATCTTGTTTGACATTATTGATAAAGTTGTTTTCATATCAAGGGATGTTAATTTCTTTGAAAGAACCTATCCTTTCAAAAAACATGCTTTAGGAACTGACTTGGAAAGTGGTGACAGTCATGTTCTTAACCCCTCATTACCCTTAATCCCCACAAATTCAGAAATCATTTTTGAATACAATGAGAACAGAAATCCAGAGGTTGATGTTGATCAGGTTATTGCCAGACAGACTGTACATTCCACTGAGCAGATTGATGAGCCAGTTCTTGAATCTGTTGAGTTGAGTAATGCAGGCCAGAATGAGTTGATTGTTGACCATCATTCTCCACAGAATCCAGAAAGCCATATGCATCTCAGAAGATCCACCAGACAAAGACAAGCATCCACTAAGTTGCAGGATTATTATTGTCATAACATGGTGGGAAACAGCTCAGGTATGAGGACCTCCCCCTATCCCATAAGTAAGTTCATTTCTTATGACACATTACCATCTGATTATAAAGCCTGCATTGCCTCTATTACCACCACACATGAACCACAGTCTTATAGTGAAGCTGTGCAGTTTGAACCTTGGAAGCAAGCTATGAATTCTGAAATAGAGGCATTGGTTAACAATAATACCTGGATTTTGGTAGATCTACCTCAAGGCAAAACACCAATTGGTTGTAGATGGGTTTATAAAGTAAAACACAAAGCTGATGGGTCAATTGAGAGGTACAAGGCAAGATTAGTTGCAAAAGGTTACACTCAACAGTTGGGAGTGGACTATTTTGAGACATTTTCTCCTGTAGCTAGGATGACAACCATCAAAACCTTCCTAGCCATAGCAGTAGCCAAAGATTGGGATGTTCAGCAGCTTGACATCAACAATGCTTTTTTACATGGGGATCTAGATGAGGAAGTCTATATGGTTCTCCCTCCAGGATTTAGAAGTGATAAGCCTAATCAAGTCTGCAAGTTATTGAGGTCTTTATATGGTTTAAGACAGGCTAGTAGACAATGGAATGCTAAACTCACAAAGGCATTGCAAAACTATGGTTTCCAACAATCCACTGCTGATCCATCACTGTTTACCAAGTCTACAACTGATTCTTACCTTGCTTTGCTTGTATATGTAGATGATATCCTTGTGGCAGGTACAAACTCTAACCAGATACAGGAATTGAAGCATTTGTTGAACACATCTTTTAAGATAAAGGATCTGGGAAAACTGAATTATTTCCTGGGGATTGAAGCTTTGAGAACTCCAGATGGCCTTACTCTGTGCCAAAGAAAGTATGCCTTAGAAATTCTTGAGGAAAGTGGTTTTTTGGATGCCAAACCTGCTAAGACTCCATGCATCACATGACAGAAGCTTACCAGTTTTGAAGGGAAGTTGCTTGACAATCCTGAGAGTTACAGGAAGTTGATTGGAAAGCTCTTGTATTTAACCAATACAAGACCTGATATCACCTTTGCTGTCCAACAGTTAAGCCAGTTTGTAGATGCACCAAGAGATCTTCATTTGGTTGCAGCTCACAGGGTATTGAGATACATTAAGGGATCACCAGGCAAGGGATTGTTCTATGCTTCCAAGTCCCAAATCAAACTCCAAGGTTTTTCTGATTCAGATTGGGCTACTTGTGCTGATACTAGGAAGTCCATCACTGGGTTCTGCATTTATCTTGGGAATTCTCTCATTTCCTGGAAAGCCAAGAAACAAGCTACTATATCAAGATCTTCTTCCGAAGCTGAATATAGAGCCCTTTCCTCCACAGTGTGTGAAATTCAATGGCTCATCTATTTACTAGCAGATTTGAGAGCACCTTCAACTAGTCCTGTTACTGTTTTTTGTGACAATCGATCTGCTATTGCTATAGGGGAGAACCATGTGTTTCATGAGCGTACGAAACACATCGAAATCGATTGTCATGTGGTAAAACAAAAGGTTAATGAAGGGGTGATTAAGTTGATGAATATCCCTTCAAATCAGCAGGTGGCAGATGGTTTTACTAAGGCCTTGCCCAAGCCTTTGTTTGATATTTTCCATGATAAGCTTGGCCTTCATGACATTCACGCTCCAGCTTACGGGGGGGGGGGGGGGGGGTGATGAAATAACTAAGGGCATACTTGTCTTTTTCCTAATCCTCAGTTAGTTATGATAGTTATCTTTGTAATAAAAGGCAGTGTTGACTGCTTAACTTTTTTTCAATTCAATTCAAGCTTCCTTTTTTCTTTCCCTGTTCTGTAAACATGAGCACTACTGTACTGAAATTCCAGATTCATCTTTTATGCTTCCAGTGTGTGTTCTAGTATTGTTCTTGCATATTTCATCACATGATAGGTCGGTCAAGGGTAATGGATAAATATGAAAATAGGAATCACGGGTTTTGAATAAAAATGATAAATGATGATATTGGGGGTGTTTGGTAAATAGTTGTTAATTAGCTGATTGGGTTAGTGGGTTTAATGATAGCATTAGCTGATTATAGAAAGATGTTTGGTAAATTGGTTGTTAGCTGATAGCTGATTACATACAAAATGACTTTCTAAAAAATATGATCTAAAAGCTACTTTGAGTAGCTTTTTAAATTTTAGCGTTTTGGAGCAATAGACTGTATAAAAAGCTAATTAATCAAACACTTATATTGTTGTTTAACCAAATCAAACCGCTAATAGTAGTCAAATAAGTCAAAATTGACTGATAAGCTAACTATATATGTTACCAAACAAGGCCATTATATCCTTGTGAATTATAGGAATACAATATTTTTTTAATTTTTTTTGAAAAGATTATTATAATACAACTAATCAATTAACCTACCAATAAATGCTTAATGCACCTTATTTTTGTTGGTCTTCTTGGTTTGTACCGATCAACTATGAACAATCTATATTCTATACTAATTTACTTTATTGTGATCATTTAGTGGTTAGTGTCACAAAGCATATTTCACTCATAAGTCATAATACATATTCAAGTAGTAGTTGCGGACTTTCCCGTAAATCAATAAGAATAATGGTAAGTAATTAATAACTCACTAATCATTATAATTAAAGACACTAACAAAGAATTATTAATATGGATCCAACCTCTAGGTTAGTTAGATTAGCCATGAAGATCTAAGGTGTTGATGAGTTTGCTGTCATAATGTACACCAAATAATGTTTTGCCAACGAAGCAGACGAAGCTAATAGGATGTTGTTAAATAGATTAACCCAATCATGTGACGCTAATTATTAGGTAACTAAAGTAGGTAATAAGATAATTATAGAGATTAAGTAAAAAAAAAAAAAAAAAAAGTTAAAGGTGTGTTGTTGGTTTTAATAAGAAAAAAGTTTCTAGGTTATGATGACTCGAAATGAAAGGGAAATCATTAGTTTTGGAAGAATGAATGAAGTTGATAGGAATGAATGGTAAAAAGTGAAAACATAGGATTACCATAGAGAACTAAAATAGAGAAATTTTTAACAAATGCCCTTTAGGAGAGTACGTATGGTAATTGTCATTAAGATCCACACTTCATTGAATTAGTTTCATTTTATAAAATGCAAATATCAATATAATATTAAAAGAAAGAGAGAAAATTGCCTTTTATTTTCTTTAGCAATAGTGAACCAATTTCTTCTTCTTTTTTTTTTTTAATTTTTTTTTTTCAAATTTTTACATAGTAAGCAATGAAGATTCTCTTCAAACACTTAATTCCTTTTCAGTACATGAAGTGGTATTATTCTGCTACGGATTACCGATAGTGGAAAAACAAGTGTACCTGTTACGCTTTTTGACAGATAAAGTTTGTCTGGACTCTAGATGCTTCCAATTGAGTGATGACTTATTATTTTTTCACAAGTTTTGAAATTATTTTGTATCATATATTTTACAATTTGACATGGCTATCTATATATCTTCGTTTAACTAAATTAAGCCCTTGTAATAGAGTTGATACTAATAAAAAAAGAAGAAGATATAGTTATACATACTTTAATAATTTATATATATACTCAGATTTAGTATCATAAAAGTTTTAATTTCCTAGTTCATGCATGCACAAACCTGATTAACAGTCTAACAGGCAATGGTTCCGTTATGCTTAGAGCCATAATAATGAGACTTTTCTCCGATGTTGGCGGCGGAGTTGTCACCGGAACCTCCGTAAGTCCGCTGACAGGAAGGGCACATGGTGAGCGGCGTAGCCGCCGACAGCTGCATGTAAAATGGCTGCGCCACCGCCACCGCTGCCGCCGCCGCCGGGGTCTTGGCTTTCAGCTCTTGCAGTTCTCTTTGCAGTCTTCTATTTTCATCGGTTAAGCTGTCGTAACACTTTCTTAGTAGCTCACAGTCCACCTCCGTCTGTTTCAGCTTATTCCTAGTTAATTACCAAAAAAAATAATTATTTTTTTTAAAGAATATAAAAAATAAAGTTATTAACAAATATTTATAAATAAAATCTGATAATTTTGTTTATTAAACTTTTTTTTTTATTATTATAATTTCAAAGAGGAAATAGTACCTGGCTCTTCGATTCTGGAACCACACTTCTACCTGTCTTGGTCGTAAATTTAGTTTTCTTGCCAAGTGTTCCTTTTGTTTCTGAGAAATTAAGGATAAAAAAAACCCAAGATTTAATATGGGAAATTCAAATATATGAATAAAAGTGAAGGGGAAATTAAAAAATATATAAATAAATAAAGTGAAATATGGAATTACAGAATTAAGAGTGCTGTGTTCTTTAAAGCTGTCTTCCAAAACAACTGATTGTTCCTTGGTCAACCTAAGTTTCTTCCTCGTACCAACAACCTCGTCATCGTCACCGGATAATCCCTTCGTCGGTTCCATTATCTCCAGCTCCACCTCTTCTTCCCCGCCGCCGCCGATTTCTCTCTCCCTCTTCATACTCGAGTTGGAAAACGACGACGCCATGCTGGTCCCATCTTCCTCCGCCGCCACTTCAAACTTCAACTCTTCCTCCGGCGGCGGGGGGCCGCCGAGCGTCAGAGAGGGGCGGAGGCAGGTGGTATCCGAAACCGGCGGAGAGGATTTCAGATGAAAGCGACATCCTGATCCTGGGGCGGCGACAACGTCGTGGTCGGAGGATCCGAGGAGGCTGAGAGTGAGGGCAGTGTTGCAGATGCTGTCGTCTTCAAATCCCATTTGGGGCTGCTGATTTGTGAGAGAGTTTGAAGGCAAAATATAATGGTTGGAAATTATGATAAAAGTGTAAATATTTATATAGCTTAACTTAGCTTGCTTTGGATATATAGTAAATAATGGAGAGCTACAATACTATACGTAGGTGCTTAATTAGTTAACTAATAACCGAAAGCAAGATATGATGAGAAGGGTAAGAGAATTTAGATTGAGACAGTATTTAAAAATTGTACCCTCCTCCTCTCTAGCTCTAGCTACTTAGTTGACCGTAAAAAAAAAATAAAAATACATACATACATACATATATATTAACATGGGCGGATCCAGTATGGGGCAGCTCTATCTTAATATATGAAAGGGTTCATGTAAGAATATGCTCCTACCTAAAAGGTAAAGACTGATATGATCCATCCATTTATGTAGATCAATAGTTGAGAATTGTTGAAAAATAAAAGGAAAAAGAGTGTGGTCATTTTTTTTAAATATTATAAACGTAAAAGTTGGCAATAATTATATAATTGATAGTGTTTTATTACTCATATATATATATATATATATATATATATATATATATATATATATTTATTTATTTATTTATTTATATATTATTTTTTCCACATTGCATTCACTATTATTAAAAGTGTGCCAATTTTAGTACACTTTAAGATTTTTCGTGGACTAAAATTGGAATACTTTTAATAATAGTGGACGCAATGTGGCAAAAATAATTATGGTGGACTAAAATTGGAATAACCCCTATAACAATAGGACCAAAAATGGAATTCACTCTTTTCATAAAATAAGAACATTTTAAGCATTTTAGAATTTAGAGTAAAAATAGAGAAACTAAAATTTAACGTGAGCGATAAGATTCGAACCTACGCGAGCAAAGCCCACATTATTTCTAGTCATGCCCAATAACCACTTTGGCACGCTCACTAGTTACTTAATCTTTTCCACTTTCCTTTTATGTATAACTTTATCTAAAAAACAATGAGTAAATAGGGATAAAAATACCTATGATTGTATGAGGTCCATATACTATAGTGTTTTGTTCAATTTAGTCACTATTGATGAACCATGCATAACGAACAATCTAGATTTTAAACACACACACAGAGAAAAATGGATTCCCGTGCGGTTGGCCTTCTCAAGTGCGGTTGTGCGGTTGCTAAGGTGCGTGGTTTGTGTGCTTAAGGTGCATCAATGATGAAACTTAAGGTGCGTCAATCTAAAGCTTTAAGGTGCGTCAATCTAAAGCTTTAAGGTGCGTGGTTTTCCTTCTTAAGGTGCGTGATTTGTATGCTTAAGGTGCGCCATTTTAAAACCTTAGGTGCCTGATTTGTGTTCTTTAGGTGCTTTGTTTGTGTGCTTAAGGTGCGTGTTTTGTGTACTTAAAGGTGTGTCAGCCTAAAGCTTTAGGTGCGCGTGAGTTGTGTTCTTAATGTGCTTTGTTTGTGTGCTTAAGGTGCGTAAGTTGTGTTCTTAATGTGCTTTGTTTGTATGTTTAAGGTGCGTAAGTTGTGTTCTTAATGTGCTTTGTTTGTGTGTTTAAGGTGCGTGGTTTGTGTACTTAAGGTGCGCCATTTTAATGCTTAAAGTTCGTCAACAACACAACCACACAGGAAAACATCTCTGCACTAGACCCCGTCCTATATATAGCTGTTTAATTTGAAGTAATCTGATATTCTTTAAAGAAGTGAAAGTCTAGTTTATTGCTCCAAGAAAAGTGACGAAGTTGTGGAATGTTGATTCCTGATTTCTGCCAACTCAGAATTAAAGATGATGATTAGTTGGTGTGAAAGATTAGGCCATAACTCTAGTATGAAAATCTTTTCAACCGTATACCATCTATGATCATCTAGTGGAGTTGGATTTCACCTTTGCGTGATCCCGCAGATGTGGGAGAAATTCTCCAAATTTCATAAACATATATATTTTGGTTCATTTAATTTTTCCTACACATTGTTTTTATTCTATAATTAATTTGATTAAAATCAAAGTAGGAACCAGTTAAGATTTTACCTGCATTCATGACTCACAAATTAACTATATATATATATATATATATATATATATATATATGGAGAGAGAGAGAGAGAGAGAGAGTTATCCCCATGTGAGAATTATAAATTACCTATTGTGTATTTTGTAATGCTTGATTGTCCAACAATCCTGGATAGGGCTGTGCATAACCCGTCCAACCTGCCCAACCCGACCGACCCGAACCCGTCATACTGGAATGGATCGGGAACCGAACCCGAATAGCCAAAACCGATCCGAGGCCGAAAACGACGCCGCATTAGTTGGGGCGGGGAGGGGGTTATATTTTCCACCCGAACCCGTCCGATAACCCGAACATTTCTAAGCCTACGTATAACCCTATGTAATACGACGTCGTGTAGCCTAAGTATAAATAGAAGAAGAAGCGGAGAAATCGCAAACCCTAGTCTCATTTGCGCAGCTCTTCATTCCCTTCTTCCAGAGAACTCTCTCAGTTCTCTCTTCTCTCTAGTCTCTACCCTAGTTCTCTCAAAGTCTCTTCTCTCAGACAGTCTCTTTGAGTCTCTGAGACGCTGAGAGCCTGAGAGTGTGAGTGTCTGTAGTGTGGAAGCTATTATTCTCCGGTGGAAGCTCTCAAGAGTCAAGCCCCATTCGTTTCCGGTAGCCCTCAAGCCCCAAGCGAGTCTCCGGTGGGAGCGATACTCCGGTGGATTGCAGTTCGCTGGCTAGGAATCGAAGCCCTTTGTTCTCGGGGGTTTATTTTAGAGAAACGAAGTAATCTCTATTCTCTAAACCCTAGTTTTTAAGATTGTTAGTTTGATTGTTTGATTAGGGTTATTCTGATTGTGATTTTTTGATTTGTATGGACTGTGAGGACTGTGATCTGTTGAGAAGTTCCAGATTACTTACTCACTTGTCTCTAATTTAAGATTGATACTTTGATTGTTTGATTAGGGTTATTCTGATTGTGATTCTGTGATTTGTATGGACTGTGAGGACTGTGATCTGTTGAGAAGTTCCAGATTACTTACTCACTTGTCTCTAATTTAAGATTGATACTTTGATTGTTTGATTAGGGTTATTCTGATTGTGATTCTGTGATTTGTATGGACTGTGAGGACTGTGATCTGTTGAGAAGTTCCAGATTACTTACTCACTTGTCTCTAATTTAAGATTGGTACTTTGATTGTTTGATTAGGGTTATTCTGATTGTGATTCTGTGATTTGTATGGACTGTGAGGACTGTGATCTGTTGAGAAGTTCCAGATTACTTACTCACTTGTCTCTAATTTAAGATTGATACTTTGATTGTTTGATTAGGGTTATTCTGATTGTGATTCTGTGATTTGTATGGACTGTGAGGACTGTGATCTGTTGAGAAGTTCCAGATTACTTACTTGTCTCTAATTTAAGATTGATACTTTGATTGTTTGATTAGGGTTATTCTGATTGTGATTCTGTGATTTGTATGGACTGTGAGGACTGTGATCTGTTGAGAAGTTCCAGATTACTTACTCACTTGTCTCTAATTTAAGATTGTTGGTGGAAGCTTAATCTGTATGTGTGTAACTCACTAACTGAGTTAAAGGCTTAAAGGGGTAATTGTCCCTAATCTGGTGGAAGCCCTAGCCCCTTTGTGTGAAATCCATATATATGATGAGCATTATGAAGTGGCATACATCCACTTAGCTTGAATGCCTGAATATGGATTTCTTTGTAAATTGTAAATTGTAAATTGTATTAAGTTTATGGATATGGGACCCTTAAATTGTTTATGTGCAATTCTGCATACATGATGACATGTGAAATTAACTGAAAGTAAATAAGTAATATGTAAATATGTAATACTTCTATGTATGAGTACTGTATGGTGGAAGCTTTAGTATGATTGGTTGTCTGCTTTATTTGGATACTGATGCCCATCTTTATAGATGGAAAGCATCAGTGCAACTGGACACCCTCCAACCTCAACTGATGAGGAGCATGGAGTAGAAGCTCAAGGTACTGAGAGAAATCCTCAGACAAATCCTATGCCTTCTCCTCCTGTTGTTCCTACAAAGAAGAGGAAAGAGGTGGAGTCTAGATCTATAGTATGGGATCATTTTGAAAAGATCCGTGCTCCACCTGCTGAAGGTGAAATTGAGGGACCAGTAGTTGAGGGCAAATGCCTTTATTGTGCCAAAATCTATAAATGTGAAAGTAAAAAGCATGGCACTTCCTCTTTGAGAAACCATATGAAGGCCTGCCTAAAAAATCCTCATTGTAAGGACACAAGGCAGTCTCTTCTCACCTTTAATGCCTCTGGAACAGAAGCTTCTGAGGGGGTTTTGGGGACTTGGGTTTTCAACCAAGAGGCTATTAGGAGGGCATTGTGTGAGATGATCATTGTTGATGAACTTCCCTTTAGGATTGTTGAGGGAAATGGCTTTAGGAAATTCATTTTAGTTGCTTGTCCTAGGTTTCAAATCCCTTCTAGGTGGACCATTTCTAGAGACATTTATCAGATTTACCTAGATGAGAGAATAACCCTAAAAAAGTTGTTTAAGGTGAGCACCCAAAGGGTCAGCTTGACCACTGATACATGGACCTCTGTCCAAAGGATCAATTACATGTGCATTACTGCACATTTCATTGATGATCAGTGGAAGCTAAACAAAAAGATCATTTCCTTTGTCCCAATTTCTTCTCATAAGGGAGAGTATATAGCCAAAGCCCTTGAGAGTTGTCTTCTTGATTGGGGGATTAGAAATGTGTTCACTGTTACTGTTGATAATGCCTCTTCAAATGACACAGCTTTGGGGTTTTTCAAGAACAAACTTCTGTCTTGGGGTGGGTCTTCTGTTAGGGTTCAATATATGCACATGAGGTGCATAGCCCATGTGTTGAACTTAGTGGTCCAGGATGGGTTGAGATATGCAGGTCCTTCTGTTAAGAAAGTTAGAGATGTTGTGAGATGGGTGAGGAGTTCTCCTGCCAGACTTAAGAAGTTTAGAGAGATTGCTGTGCTTAATGGGGTGGAAGCCAAATGTGCATTACAACTTGATGTTCCAACAAGATGGAACAGCACATACATGATGCTTAACACTGCCCTTCAATACCAGAGGGCCTTTGAAGCTTATGAGAATGATGCCTCATTGAATGCTGACTTACCTGATTCTATTCCAAACTTTATGGATTGGCTTTCTGTGCAAAGCTTAGTCCATTTCCTGAAAGGCTTCTATGAGATGACTGTGAGAATATCTGGTTCTCTATATGTCACTTCAAATACTTTCTTTTCTGAGATTTCTGACTTAGGTTGCATGCTGGATGACATGGTTAACTCTGTTTCAACCTCTGAAAAGGTAAACTGTAAACTGGTATCATTTATCTGAATGTGTTTGTATGCATCTCTTAATTTTTTCTGTGTTATGTCTGTTTTATAGGATATGGGGTCCCATATGAAACAAAAATTTGAAAAATATTGGGGAGATCCTGAAAAAATGAACTTCTTGATATTCTATGCCAATATTCTGGATCCTAGGGATAAGATTGAGTACATGCCTGCCCAATTTGCTCAGTTGTATGGTGATGAAAAAGGAAAATCATGCTTTGAAAAGGTTCAATCTTCTATGGTTGTCCTGTTTAATGATTATACAGCCACCTACAGTGTGCAGTCTGCATCCCCTACTGTGCAATCTACCCAATCTGAACCAGTCCATTCTCAAACTTCAGTTGGAAAACCTCAGGGTAGAATGAAAAGCCAGCTTAAAAAACAGAGAATGGAGGCTGGTAAAAGCAGTAAAGAAACTGAACTCCAGATTTATCTAAGTGAAAAAATAGTGGAAGATGAAGAAAATGTGGACTTTGATGTTCTAAGATGGTGGAAGGTTAACAGTGATAGATTTCCTATACTCTCTAGAATGGCAAGGGATGTGCTGGCTGTTCCCATTTCAACTGTTGCCTCTGAGAGTGCATTCAGTACTAGTGGTAGGGTATTAGATCCCTTTAGGAGTTCATTAACTCCTAAAATTGTTGAATCCCTAGTATGTGCACAAGATTGGTTGAGGGCACCCAATCATCCAATCTCTGTGGAGGAAAACTTGGATGATGTTGAAAGATTAGAGAAGGGTACTGTTTTTATTTTATATCTTTTGTAGGTTTCTACTTTATAAATTGTTAATTGTTACTTACCTTTTCTAAACTCTTTTTTTGTTTTTCCTTTTTGTGCAGAATTGTCCACTGGAGCTGCTGGTTCTTTACCAAGTACTGTTGGAACACTCCCAACAATTGCTGTAATACTTTTATATAACATTGCTTTCTGACTTTCTGTTTAGTTTGATTGATAAATGTGTGGACTCTTTGAGGCAAATCAGGTAAGATTCCAGAACTGCTAATTGCTAAGTGGCTTGGTAACTTTTTTATAAATGTTGCTGCCCTTACTCAGTTACATCTCTGGTATTCTGGAATTCTGGTATATCACTTCCCTTCCTCTCATATTCTCATTTCTGTTTAGTTATGGACTTATGGCTATGATGATGCTTCCACCATTTGTCTGAATTAAAAAGAGTTTGAGTGTTTGGTATGTTGTTCTGAGACAAAACTCATGAAGCAATTTGCCCCCAACTCTAAAATGATATGAAAAAAAGCAATCTGAGCCTTTCTTATTAAGTATTATTAGTTCCCTACTTCTCTTTGTCTTTATTGGCTTTAAAGTTTAAAGTCTTTACTGGTTTTGTAATTGAGCAGGAAGATGAGGAATGGATGAATGCTGATTGCTGAAGGCTGATTGGTGACTGCTGACTTGCTGACTTGCTGAGTTGCTGACTGCTGACTTGTTGAGTACTTTAGTAGTTAGTAGTTAGTAGTTAGTAGTTTAGTGTTGTTTGAGTATTGTAGACAAAACTCATTTTGTGGACTTCATTTTTGCTTTTTGAATTTTGAACACAAGTTGGAAACTGCAATATGTAATTATGTATCTAAAATCTAAATGCCTACATAGCTGATAGCTTTGGTAATTTAGATTATGGTTATTAAGTTTGAACATTGTTACAGTTTTTTTTTTTTGGTATGTTTTATATTAATCCGAGTTCAAACCGAAATCCGACCCCACCCGACCGTATCCGATCGGATTTCCCTCTTAATTCGAACGGATTGGGGTAGTTTTTCTCAATCCGAAATCCGAGCGGATGAACGGTTTTCTAAACCGATCCGCCCGAACCCGTCCGATGCACAGCCCTAATCCTGGATACCTTATTGTGTATTCGCGCATAATTGATTGTACACCCGAACAACTATTATCAAAGCATACTGTAAAATATTTTTAAAAAAGAGTGGAATTTTTGTAATTATAAATGTGCAACTTGTAGTGTCTAATTGTGCAACTACTTGTAGCTTATTGTGCAGTTAACACATTCACACAGGACTAATAATGGTTCTCATTTGATCCTACTATATATATATATATATATATATATATATATATATATATATGTGTGTGTGTGTGTGTGTGTGTGTGTGGGGGGGGGGGGGTGGGGTTGTGAGGGAGGGAGCGAGAGAGAGAGAGAGACATTGTGTGGTGGTATAAAACAATGTAAGAAAAGTAATTCTAAATTGCTTACAAAAATTACTCTCTGACTATTACGAGTAATATTATATTTCTCTTAAAATTACAATGGTATTACCATTGAATTTCTTTTTGTATTTAATTATCTCATAAAATTTATTTTATTCACTTATGATGTCATTAAGTTTGTTTATGAAGTGTAACTTTATTTTCTTATATTCACGTAACAAACATTACCATGTTTCTGTGAAAGAATGTTAGACTCGGCCCTCCAAACTTTCACCAACAAAATGAATATTATATTAAGTTTTCTTAAGGAAACTATGGTAGCTTGCTAGGGAATGATTCGAAATTAATATTTTAAGATTTCATGAAAAATTAAAACAGTCGACAATAAGAAATCATCTTTTTTTATCTTTGCTATTATTCTATTCTATTCTGTTTATTTTTTTTTTGAATGCCTATTCTGTTTATTTATTTATTTATTTTTACACCTAAGAAATCATGTTTGACCATGCTAGCTGTGACGGCAAGTACATGATTATTTAATTTCTTAGCCGAGGTCCACTAAGAAAAACATTTGAAATAATTGAATTCAGTATTGGATTCTCTTAAAAAGGAAAGTGATGCATGCATGCACCACCCCCCCCCCCCGCTCTTCATTTTTTTAATTAAAATTATTTTTTCAGACATGAATCTTGTTTCCAATTCCGCTGTTTCGCAGTTGCTTGTATATGAGAATTTTCTAAACGTAACTTAATCACAATTTACAATTTTTTATGTTTTACTATACAAAAAACTATTATGCTTGTGACCTTTTTTTTTTTTTTTGTGTGTTTTGTTTTGTTTTTGTTTTTGTTTTTGTTTTTTTTTTTGTTTTTTTTTTTTTTGTTTTATTTATTGGTGTATTCTATATTTTTAAGAATTACGGTTGCACAATTTTTATTTTTTTTTTGTACGTATATACAAGAATAATATTTATGACAATCAATATTAATGGGTGGCTTGGATGACGAAATCTAAGGTATCCATCCACAATGGAGTTGTTCACTCGTCTAGGGAAACCCTAGCGGAGGGACCTAGGATAAGGCTACCTACTGAGAAGAATCCGGAATGTGAGCCTTTTAGAATAGCTATCCAGAATGGAGTCATCAAGTCGTATGGTGCCGGCCTGGGGAGGGGGAGGGGAACTTAGGAAATGGCTACTTTAGAGTGAAGCCGTCAACATGGGAGAATGACTACTTGATGCTGAGAAGAGTTCGAAGTGTGAACCCTTAGAGTAGGCCGTTGTGGATATCACATTCTTAGAGGGAGGATGGACAATGATACGATGGTAGAGATTGTGGAGTGGTACTTAAGTTGGGTACAAACCTCCACTTTTATATATATATATATATATATATATATATATATATATATATATATATATATATATATATATTGTTTTTTTTGTTTGTTTTTTGTAGAGTTAAAATCTTAGTTTGAGTGTTGTATTATAAAGCTTATAATAATTGTAGATGCAAATATCATTTATGTTTGTTGACAGTGGGTTTCCATGCCAACTTATGAATTATTAACGAACTTTTGTCAAGGTCATATTTTTTGTCAAATATGTACAACGTTATTAATTATAATACATTTTAATTATTTAATGAAATATAGATCCGATCATTGGCGTATTTTTATTTTTATTTTTTGGTGTTTTTTTTTTTTTTTCAAATGAGGAAAATAAGAAAAGTTAGAAATTATCAACAAACAGAATCAAGGCTAAACTCTTTGGGGATGGTCCAAGATTTGTAAATTTGGTCAATGATAATAATCATGATAAGTTACCATCCAATTTATTTAGAAGCTTCTTTATGAATTGACAAATTGTACATGTAAGTTTTGGAAACACACAATTCGTCGGGCCAAAGTAAACAACTCTTGCTTTTTTTATAATTACGTTTGAATATTTTTTTCTAATTATATATGCTATAATTATGTGTTTCTTTTTTAATGCTACTGACTCTATTACATTGTAATATCTGTTCAAACATATTTTTTCAACCTAATGAAGTACACAGAGTCAACAACGTCTCCACTAGGTTCAATTTCATGACCTCACACATAGGAGAAATCACTACGTGCCATTTGAGCACAGGGTGCCTGGCATATAATCATGTGTTTCTAATTACATTATAACGTGATATATGATGGTTCGATTGTCTAGAGAAGTAAACAAAGATATATCTATAGTTATCTACATACACATCTTCAAAGTTCAATTAAAACTACAGCAATTATTGGCTATTGCTTGAAAAAAATAAAAATAAATCCCATGATGCTTTTAAGAATGAAAAGCTAGCATATATGCATCATCAAGACTTGCACAGGCACGCTTCTTCATCTGCCCATATTTGTATTAATTCTATTAGTGTGAACCCAAACCTAAAGAAATGTAAAGAAGATAAATCGTAAAATGTGTCTCAATTGATAAATAAGTTTATAAATAGTTCTTTTTAAAAAAAATTTGAAATACTTGTGAAATATATATTAGCGCAGCACACAATGATGTTGAAATTGACGTTGTAACACAAACGATCTGTAACGCAGTTCGGGCAAATAACCCTAATCTGCGAGGCACATCTCAATTTGAGAACTTGCCTAAATCCACTAAAAGCTCAATATTTAAAGTACACTGTTTGGAACCTGAGATTACACAATAGAATGATCTTTCTTACCAAACTATTGAAACCTAAACACATGTACTACTTTCTAGGGGAATTTAGTATCCTATTCTCAAAGACTCTCGTACCTCACCAGATTAATGTTGAATGCTTGAGTTTTACAAGAAAGGACAACCCCTATTTATAGTAGCTATTCCTAACAGATTCGTGAATAATAAAGCTATTCCTAATCAGACTAGAACTAAACACTTCAATAACAATTCCCTTTAGAACTAGTACTCTTCAATAACTACTCCTCTTAGGCTTGGTATTCCTTTATAGATCTGGTATTCCTTTTGCACATAACTTTGACAAAACACTTTGAGTCAACAATCTCCCCCTTTGTCAAATTTTTGGCAAAAACCTTGATCTCATAGTGGCTTGATTTCCTATTCTTCTCCCCCTTAGTTGATTCTTCTCTCCCTAAACTTGATTCCTGGAGTTCTTGGAAAAAAAAAAACTTGAAACTTGTATTTGAATGTGTGAGTGAAGAGAATTCTTCACTGTCTCTGTATATTTTACCAATGTGTGGTAAAGTAGATCCACACAGTCACAAAAGTAGAGGATTTGATCATAGATAAGTTCAAGTGGTTTTGGATCTGTAAATTAAATTTCGCCATTCACGCAGGGCAAAGCCCGCATCATGCATTTCATTTGGAAGAGGAAGCACCGGGCCATCAGAGATGAATATTCCGGTGGAATCTTCTCCGAGATCATATGGATTTCCATTGCTGTTTGAAACCGGAACGGTAGAGGATCCGAAAGCTGGGTGCGGATCCGACCCGAATCCATAGGGATCGGGACTGTGGACGGATTGAGGAAAGTGCTCAACTGTCACTTCATCGTACTCTCCCGGAAATCCCCCGGCTGATTGGTACGGTGGCGCGTATCCGCCGTCATCAAACGGCGGAGGAGCCGTTCTGACGTGCTCATCCATGGTAGATACATCGAAGATGCTGATTTCCCCGTCTTCTTTTCTTGATTTTCTGGTGATCCTTCGCACCAGGCTCTCTTCTGGGTTGTTGAGGTAGCAAGAAAATGAAGTCACCCGAAGACTCATGTCATTGGCTTCCATGGAGATTATTATAATAACCGGACAGTAACGGGTTTTGATTGGAAATCAGTTTCGTACTTGTATTCATTTATACAAACCCCTCTCGCATTTGGGTGCGCCTCAACTGTTCGACAGAATTTCGGAGTCATTGTAAGTGCAATCCAAACTTCATATTTTGTTCACTTATGTCATAGCTCAACTTTATACCCCAATCATGTATATCTGTTACAGTTTAAGGCTTCATCAATGTTTTTTGGGATCAAACTTGGAGGTGTGGCAGTATACTCCTTTTATTTTGTGGAAATCTTGTTTCTTTCCTCTAGTCTTTATTCTTTGATTGAGATCTCCCATGATATTTTCCAAAGGATGATTTTTCTGATTTTTTAAGACAGTAGGATGACTTTTATCCTTTTCTTCATTTGGCTCTGTTTCTGTTCTGCAATTCTGCATATCA